AAAAAAAAAAAAAAAAAAAAAAAAAAAGATTACCCCGGTCCACAGGTTTGACTGATGTAAGTATTGGAAATTTGATGAAAATACAGTTCAAGCGTCAACGATGGTTTATCTCAGCAGAAGCAGTAAGAAACACTCAGTTTATCTCTAAGTCTGACTCACCAGAAGCGGTAAGAAACGAAACACTAAGACGTCAAACTCTCCGGCACCCAGCAGAACAACGCAAGGCCAAAGATTACCCTGTTCCATGTGGTTTGACTGTTGTAACTTGAAGTACGGGAAAAATTTGATGAAAACCCAGTTCAACGTTCAACGATGGTTTATGTCACCAGAAGCGGTAAGAAACACTACTACGGCCGTACGACGTCAAACTCCCCGTCAAGCCATGGGGGAGGAACCACTCAAACGGGACACAAGTACGGACGGGCCGGGTTTTGAGTTCTCAAAGGCAAAAACAACTGCTACACTAAATGGCACTGTCCTCATGGCCCGAGTTTGAAACGCCACTTTCAGTCGAAATAGAACCGTTGGCCCATTTTTCATTTTTCATTTTCCTTCTCCCCTTTCCCGTCTGTCACACGCCCCCCCCCCCTGAAGTTCTGATCTGACACCTGTGCCTCTCTCACGGCCTTCCTACGTTCGTTGCTTTTTTTAATGAGGCGGTTGGTAACTTGGACTTGGTGCCTGTTCCTTTTCCCAATTCAAACCTCTTTTGGGACATCAACGTATACTTGGCCCTGGGCACTGGGCCCTGGGTCCTGAGAAGTTGTGAGAACAAAGAGGTTGAAAGTTGAAAACAAGGAAAAGGTAGCAAAACTCTAAACCCGGATGCGCAGTTATGGGAGCCCTCTGGATGTCAATCTCCCACCTCGCCAATCTCCTTCAATGTTCATCCTGTTCCTGAACCTGGGATGCGTCAACCTTGCGGCACGGGGCATAAGGTAACAGTCTTCAGAAAGTCAAGTGGCAGAAATCAAATCTCTCCCTTCCTGAGGTCATTGTGGCACCCCCCCTCCGGGTTCGGCCGACTATGCCGTCCCGCTGGGGGGCCCACAACAACATTGTGAAGGGACGCCGGGCCTGGTTCCCGGCTTGCATAATAAAGATCTCGATTTTGGAAAAAAAAAAAAAAAAAAAAAAAAAAAATCTCTCGATAGGTAAGCTTCTCCCCAACAGAAGCAGGAGAAAAAAAAAAAAAAAAAAAAAAAAAAAAAAAAAAAAAAAAAAAAAAAAAAAAAAAAAAAAAAAAAAAAAAAAAAAAAAACCAGAAAAAAGGGGAAAAAAGGAAAAAAAGGTGAAAGAAAAGAAAGCTCTTTTCAACTTCATCAATCAATCTGAGGGAAAGGCGACTGAAAGCTGACTGAGCCTCACAGTCCCAATCCATTCATGGCAGAGAGTTCTTCCTTCAACGTACATGGCGTGTGCAATAACTCAGCTCAAATCATGCATCTGTCGTGGGCTTAGGGTCGGCATTTTGGCCTAAGGCCGAGAGAGGGTGTAAAAAGGCCACACCCCAGTCATGAACACAACCTGAACGAAGGCCTGCTATTGTGGGGTACTCGAAGCAAGGCCTAAAAACAGCTTTCAGAGGCCCTAAGTGTGAGAGTTGACCGTGGAAAGTCAAAGGTCAGCAGAAGCTCGGAAACTCAGGCTCACGAGTAAGTCAACATGGACCCAAAAAAAAAAGAAAAAAAAAAGTCAACATGGACCCAGTCCAGGCCATGGATCAAACACACACACTTGGCTGTTTGCAGGTATCTGTCAAGGATCAAGTCCAAGTGGGAATCTGTAACTGTAAGGATCCAGGCTATTGGCTGCAGTCTGCAAGACAATCAGATTCTGGGCCATGGTACCTGATAGACTAGAGGCTGGTCGACTGGAGTCAACACTACATATTGACTCAGCCCCTGCTGACCAGCACCAGCATTCAGTCTTGCACTTGCTGCTTGACGCTGGTTTGACGCTGGCTCTACGCACTACGCTGGCTTGACATTGAATAGCTAATGAGAACTTGTCTATGAATGTAATCACGCATTTTGTTAACGCGATTGAAAATGTCGAACCTATTTTAGAAGTAAGAAGAGTCAGAATCTCCGGAACCACCCAATTAGTCCCATCCATTATACCAAAGAGTCGTCAAGAAACCTTAGCTCTTTGGTGGATTCTTGAAGGCGCCTTGTGGGACTCCTGAAGCTTTGGGCTGGTGCCTTCTCTGTCTGTGGCGCCAGCTGGATACTTGACTTTGCTGACGTGGCTCTTGCCACGTTGTCTAGGTCGGGGGTGGGTTGAAAGGGGTTTGGGGGAGGGGGG